AATGAAACGCGAATGAAACAAAAGAACATGATCAAATAAAAAGCGGCAACAAACCTCAGCAAAGTAGTTCTTGGGATTGCGATCCAGCACCATTTTGCCCACTGGAATCAGAGGATACTCCTTCTGCGACCAGACCTTGGTTATATCGAAGGGATTGTACTTGAACTTCTTGGCCTGCTCGAAGGTCATGACCTGGATGTACATCGTCCAGCTGGGGAACTTGCAGGTCTTGATCCGGTTGTACAGATCGCGAATGCTGTAATCCGGATCTGTGCTGGCCAACTGATCGGCGGTCTTCACGTCCAGATTCTTGATGCCCTGATCCGTCTTGAAGTGGAACTTGGCATAGATGGGCTCGCCCTTGGCATTGATCAATTTGAAGGTGTGGGAGCCGTAGCCGTTCATGTGGCAATAACCGTCGGGAGTGCCGCGATCGCCGAACAGGAAGCACACCTGGTGGGCAGACTCCGGTCGCAGGGTAAGGAAGTCCCAGAACATGTCCGGATCCTTCAGATGCGTCTGCGGGTTGCGCTTCTGGGTGTGAATGAAGCTGGGGAACAGGATCGGGTCGCGAATGAAGAAGATCGGCGTGTTGTTGCCAACCAAATCCCAGACGCCATCCTCAGTGTAGAACTTGATGGCGAATCCTCGGGGATCGCGGGCGGTGTCCGCAGAACCGCTCTCACCACCCACGGTGGAGAATCGCACGGCCAGTGGAGTGCGCTTCTTGACCTTGTCGAAGATCTTGGCGGCGCAGTACTGGGTGATGTCGTGGGTCACCTCAAAGTATCCAAAGGCACCTGCTCCCTTGGCGTGCACCACGCGCTCTGGAATCCTCTCCCGGTCGAAGTGAGACATCTCATCCAGGAAGTTCACATCCTGCAGCAGAATGGGGCCTCGGGGACCCACCGTCTGGCTGGCGTCCTTGATTCCAATGGGTGCTCCATTACCGGTGGTAATGGCACCTGGAGGAACCTGCAAATATAAATGATTTTTAATGCATTTTATTTTAATTTCAAGCGGCTATGCACAGGGCAATTCCATAACTTTCTGCTCTAAAATGTTAGTTCAAGTGTCGTCCCATCTTATCAGGTCTATGCGATAATTCTTTTTTGGGCAGCGGACTTTCATTTTAATCTTTGGGTTTCGCCAAAAAACATAAACATAAAGATTGCAAAGCGTTATCTCTACACGGGGGGTCATTTTAGGAGGCATTTTGCCGCGAATATAAATTTGCCCGAATACTTTGATTACAAATAAGAGATCCCAGGTGTTCTTAAGTGCTTAGGGCATTTAAGTATGGATGATGTATGGCTTAAATGACTTTAGTGAATTAAAAAATTAATTATTCGAATATCAAAATGGTTTTACACAGTTTATGAACTGCCGATCAATAAATTCTTTCATTCCATTAGGCTAATAAAAGAGCATTGTCCATCTGAAATATCAATTAGCCCAAATGGCTGTCCGCCATTTATCAGCCGATCTAATCCATCCTCATTCTTCTTGTTTTCAATTTATTTCCCTGGAGTAATCCGACACCGCTCCCTAATCACCTCGTCGTTTATTTCGCATGCAAGCTAACCAACCAAGCATTGAGTAAATTATAAAATTAACTCAGCCAACAATTTGCAAAACTGTCACCGGTTAATGCGCACTGTTTAGCTAATGGATTTGAAACCTGACAACGCCATGCGAAATTCTAATTCGAAAGCATTTCTAGAACAGTGCATATAGAATTTTATACAGAAGGCTGCATATCAAAGTGAAGCCTCTGGTGGTGTGTCAAACATATAAATTAAGCTACTGTTTGTATTTCACAACAAAGTCATTAAGATATATCACTTGGGGTGGGATTGCTCGTTGGGTAGTAGGAGTCTTATAATTGTTTAGGGAATTAGAGTACTCATCGCTTTCAAATCTTATCAAATCTTTTTGCTGTTGCGAATAAGAGAAATCTGGCCTGTACTAAAACCTCTTATTAACACACAACAATCGGTAAATAAAATTTGAATATTATCATTCCTGAATTCATACTGGAGTCACCTTTTAGAAGTGCAGAATTGCCGCACCTGTTTGTGAGCTCTTTATAGATTCTTAATATTCTGGACAATACTATACACATTTTTGCGGCGATTCAGTGCGAATGGCTTGCACTTTGAGACAACGATATGGGGCCACTTCAGGGGGCAGATACGAAAAGTGAAGCAAACCGGGCATGACAGTGCGAGTGGAACTGCGATCCACGCCCAACAAGTCAATCTGGTTCCTATCAGAGCCTTGTTGCCTATGCATGTGGTTGTAGATATCTCCAGCGAAGAGCAAACTGATAAGAGAACCCCAACCGATCTCGTATAGAAATGCAAAGCACACAGTCCACAGGAAAGTTTTTAATTGCAACTTGTCGACGATGCCAATGGCACAAGGTTGGCAAACAGCAACTTAATGAGGCAGCTTTGTAAGATCAGTGCAGCTGATAGTTGTAGGTAGAGATAGGTTTGCCTTCTAGATATCATTTATCACGAGAAGGTGTTTACAAGAAGTAAGCTGAAGGGGGTTCTATAGGATTCTTAACCAAGTAAGAATGCGGCTACGCCAGATATTTTCCTTGCATTTTTGAATTTCTTGGATACGAAATTAACTTGATTGCGAGATACCCAAAGAACAAAGAACCTAGTTGCCATGATTATGCAGCGAAACAAATGCAAACATTTAATTGCCTGACAGAATGCAGTTTTCACAGTTTCGTCATAGAAGGTCAAAATCGACTAAAACAACACGAACCAACCAACTGTGCAGCTCTCTTTTCTGGGTCAGTTCGAAACATATTCTCACATACAGTCGCTTTAAGCCGGGCGTTCCAGCCAGGTTGCATAACCAAATTGGAGAAAGAAAATTTGCGTTAAATTATGGCTGGCAAACGCATTTTCCGAGCCGATCTGGCCTTCCGCACTCAACCCAAAACGGGTTTTAAGCCGGGTTCGTTGTCACTCGATCACTTCAAGTCGAAGTCGAAGTCGCAGTTGAGGCCCATTGCAACCAGTTTGTGCAACATTAAGCCGGTCGCCGCAAAGTCCATTGACTCCCAACGAATTTTCCAACTTATAGGCAGCGGCGCAATCCACCAGTCGCTGTCCTCAAAAAGTTCATACCTATATTTGTTTAAATAAAATAAAGGCTAGCTGCGTGCTTTTAAGTAGTGGAGTAATTGGTTTCGTGACTCAATGCACAAAGCCACTTGAATCAGTGATGCGAGAACTGAGTTCTAGATTTATCATAAATTCAATGGGGTAAAAACGGTTTGTTAAATAAAACAGAAAATAATATTATTTCCAAACAAAAATCCTTGTATTGGCAAAAACCTATTAAAGCTGACGAACGGAAAATCCATTTTACCTGAATTACTAACCAAAAGTACGCACCCAACTGTAGGATCAATCTAATCTATTTGGGCCAATTAGTTAGCTGTTTTGGATGTCTATCAGCTAGCTGACAATAAACTATGCAGAATGATTATTTCATTTATCGATTTATAGAGGGCCATGTGAAAACCATAGGGAAATTGCCGAGTAATTAATAAAAAGATACAGTATCTATAGGTGAGGCAATGAATTATTATTTCATTCCGCAATTGATACCTCTACAAAATTGTTTTTAAAAATGTTTGCATTGTATGAAATGTTGCAATTGCGGAATGCCACGAGTATAACGAATTACTCAATTGTTTAGTGCACTTTCTTGAGTGTGAACAAACAATATTTGTTTAAAATGTTTAAGAGGGCACGATTCTTCAATTGAAATCATGCATTTAATCTGAGCGTTCAGGCAAAAGCGAAAGCGAATAATTAACACGAAAGTGCAAACGAACAAATTCGAATGCTCAAATACAATTGCCAAATGAAAATGGAAGTGCTAAGAGAAAACAGAGGCGGAAAATGAAAATGAACTAAGGGAAAGGGTCAGCCAAGGTTAGAAAATGGGCTAGCTAGTCTAAACTTTGTATTTCCTTAAGAAGCAAACCAGGGGAAATAAATTAGCTTAACCAAACTCTGGATTAGGTACAGAATACACAAATCCAATAAGCATTGTCACACTGATAAGGTTTATCAGTTCACTTCTGATAAGATTTGTAAGAATAGAGGACTCAGAGAGGCGGATTTTGAACTTTGAACTGTGGTGAAACGGCTTTCAAAATTACTGGCATCTGCCGACCAGCCTTTGTGGCTTTTTGCATTTTTAATGATTAATGAAAAGTACAGGCTCATAGCAATCGTTGCTGAAATTGCCTTGTTTTTGTTTTGTTCGAACAATGTTTTTTCCCTTCTCTTCCTCTTTTGTTCGTTTTTTTGTTTTTGTTTTTTACTTTCCTGCCGGCACACACACATGCACACATACACACGCAGCCCTCGCTCTCGCGCGCTCGCACTCCAACACACTCACCGTTTGGGAGTTTTTGTAGTCAATCAACTGATTTGAAGCCGCATCGCGTCCAGCCATTTTGCTTGAAATTTAGGATATTTGCTCAACGGGATAAACAGAATTTAGAAACGCTCGAACTGGAAAGTTGTCGATTTTTCGCCGCCTTCGTGTTTGCTCTGACTGCGTCGAGAATTCTGTCAACTAAAGCAACTGCAGCGCAGTTCCATTTGTTTTTATAGCCCAGTCCCACGTACTTGTTGTTGCTCAGGGTTGTCGAGTGCGCAGAAGATATCGATATTTCCGTCAGGTACTCGATATTTTAGAGTTGCAAGTGTAGGTTCAAAATATTGATATATTAATAAAATCTCAACCGTAATCTCTCAATCTGTACCGAAATTTATAATCATAAATTAATACATGCATTTGAACAATAATATAATAAAATGGATTATCAACGTTTTGAAATTAGAACTTTAAAGTCGCATCGCTGCACTCGCTCCCCAGAAACATTATTAAAATGATTCATTATTTATTTATATTATTATTCATTCATTCATTATTCATTATTTATACAAAGACTCTGTTGTTTTATTGTTTAATATCATGAAAATATAAGCATCGTTGAATTATAAACTAATTAGTGCACTATCTTTCAGTGCTTCCTGGCAAATAATTATCTATGTCCTTTTGTGGTTCTTTCAAATATATCTCCAAACGGCAATCTTTGAGTGGCTCCTGCCAGATAAACATCGTTTAAAATTTTAATCTAGCGTACAAAAATATCAAATTATATGAATCGTAGAAACTAACTTTAACAATCGTGTCATCTAGTCCTAACAAAAAATCGGCTAACCACCAGTGGTTCCCATCAAGTAAATGTCCATGGATTGCTTGTCCAGGACGGTCGGTCGCCTCTTTGGAATTGGCTGAATGTGAGGCAGTCGAGTGCCATTCACGGCATTCAGGCTGAGATTCGAATTGGGGTCGTAGTCATCACTATCCGTCGTAGTCAAGGCCAAACCTAGCCTCTGGGATGGTTTCGCCGTGTTGTTTGTCCTCGCAACCTGGCGTTTTCTGATGGCTACAGCGCTTGTAGTGGGCACGTTGTCTGAATCTTGACTTGAGGTGCCATTGGAGTGCAGTACTCCATCGGCTGTCACAATACCTTCACTGTATGATGCACCGAATTCGGAACTTTGGCTTGTGGGCTGTGAGTCCTCTGAAGTGGACACAGCCAAAGTGGCACTTCTTTGCGACTGAGTGCCGCTCACGTCCGTGATGCTTGCGGCATTCTCCCTGGCCATCTGATGCCGCTTGGCATTGTCGTTCTTTTTCCGGTATAGTCGCACCAGGTCCGTGTAGCACTTGCAGCAGATGAGGTTGCCCGCCCGAATTTCGCTGTTCAGCAGACAGGCGAAGCGCACCAAATACTTGTTGTTCAGTTCGCGGAATGGCCTCCGCAGCGTGTGGTTGCCGACGGCGCAGAATCTCCGCTCTTGGCGCGGGCCCCCCTCGTCCGAGCTCATCTGGAATCGATCATATACCTGGTTTTCCACTTCGCGACATTTAAAACAGTGCTTACATTGGCATTTATACTCCCAAGCGATCGGAAATGAAAATAGAAGCCAATTGTCCCGCCACTATGAGCACATGCAGTGTGACCAGGTATGGATTGTTGAAATATACCAACATCGCTTGACCACTTTAATACCATACAATAAATACCACTAGTACATACTTTAATACCATACAATAAATACGACTAATACATACATACCACATTAATACCAATTAATACTCAAATTAATATTTAAACGTTACAATTTGGCTTTGTAATTAAAAACATCATAGTTGTCCCAGTTTTTCACAATTCAGTTGTGGCTAAAATAAAAATAAGTACAAATAAATATACTAATCGAATTGAATATGTATTATATTATTATTTTTAAAGTCCTTATATCCTTTTAATCACATCACAAATATTGAGCTTCTTTCAAATAAGATTTAAAATATATGAAATTAGTTCAGTAAAAAAGTATTTAAATTGTTCAGTATTTAAAAAACCGAAAACTGCAGAATCAGCTGATCGACGGACAGCACTCAGCGTGCTGTTACACGCAAAATGTTAGCCCATTAAACCCAGGTTATTTTTTGTCATTCATTGTTCATACGTTCGTCTCGTCTGATTTTCTTTTTATAAAAATACAATTAAAATTTCAAACGAATACACATAATGTTTATAAATATAATGTAGTGCAACACATATATGTATAATATAGCTTAATACCAAGTGCAATCCCCCGAAAGATAACTTCAAATGGCAATCTAATTTACGTAAAGAGAAGAGACAAAAAAAAAGAAACGGCGCGTGTGAAATTTTTTCAAGCAAAGCAAAGGAGAGAAGTTGGAGCAACAAAAAAAGCGGAGAAAAAATACAGCAACAACACACAAAGTAGGCCAACAACAACAGCAAGAAAAAAGCAAGCAAGCGGCAACAACCACAACAATAACAATAACCACAACGTCGAGCGAAAGAAGCAAAAACCTTGTAATTGTGTCAATAAATATTTTAAATATTATTTCCTTTGGGAATGGCACAGTGTCTGTGTGTGCGCCTTGTAGTGTGAGTGTGTGAGACAAGTGAAATTTTCTTTGTTTCCCTGCGGGGGAGGAAAATAAAAAAGAGTCAAGAAATAAAGTTGCCTTGAAACAAAAACAAAAAACGCTGCCCCAAAAAAAGTGTATGCATGTGTGAGTGTCTGACTCGTTGTCTGTTGGTGTTGGTGTGTGTCTGGCCGTGTGTGTGTGGCAATGAACGTTGAGCAACAATAATTTTATTTATTTGGAATTTTGCTGCGCTGTTTGCTTGCTTTTATCTTTATAAATACGCACACCTACAGCGCGATAAATGAATTATGATAATAAAAGTCCCAAGTGCTCTCTTAGCAATGAAAATGTTTAGCCAAAAAACGAAAAGCAACAAAAACAGCGGCTTTAAGGCTGCTGGACAGGTTTCCCACGGCTAAAAAAAAAATGTAAAATACAAAAAGGAGCAACACGACGGCGACGAAAGAAGAAGCAACAGCAATGCGTGAAACGCGAAAGCAAAGTGAAATTCAAGACAACAACAACAAACACGAAAGCATAGCGGCTAACAGAAACCGTTATTCAACAATTTCTTGAATAAATCGAAACAACAACAACATCGTAAAGCATACAAGTGAAAGAAGGCACAAAATACTGGTTTACACGAAATAAAAAAAGATAAAGCAAAAGAAAGAAAGCAAAGAGAGAAAAAGTTGCTGCACGAGAAATTTTGTTCGTGTATCGTCTCCCCATTTCTATCTCAGCATATATATATGTGTGTGCGTGTGTGTGTGTGTGCCTGTGTGTTGGTGAAGTAAAGTGAAAAGCAATGCTGCAAGGAATTACAACAACTACAGCCAGTTTACAATAAATATATTACAGTAAACGGTACTTAGGACCACAACAGAGAGGAGCAACAGAGAAACAAAATATTTGGACACAATCTCAAGGTGAGTGAATCAAAGTTGCGTATTTCGATGATTTTCTTAAACGTGCGTGCTTCAATTAAAGTGTGGACATAAGCGTCAAATAAAAGCCTTAGCATGCGAGGCAGTCAAAAGGAAAAGGGAGGGAAGGCATGTTGTCTTTTTTTTTTTTGGAGCATGCGAAATGTCTACAGGTGGCTTATTTACAGTTACTTTCTTGATAACAGCTGCTCGGTCTTCTCGTCTTTCTTTCTTTCCTAAATTCTTCTTTCGCCAAGCTCTTTAAAGCTTCTCACGCTCGTCGAAATATTTCGGCGTTTTTATGCCTTATCGCCATCTAATTAACGGTAAAAGATGATGCTCAATGAACACGATTATTCCTTTTCATTTTCATTCACCCGAAGATAATCACAATAAATTACATATATGCTTTAGCTTTTTTCTGCTTTAACATGGTTCAACAAAAGCTATTTCAATGGTCTTCTAAAGTTTTTATTAAACTGCACTACAAAAGGACACTAGTTGGGAAAATTAAATAGAATGTTTATTAGAACATTAGTTTCCAAAGTATTCAAATTCAAGAAAGTCTTATAGAGCCCCTAATAGACCCTGTATTTCGAAAGGGTGAATTAGAGATTTAGAGATTCATACTTCAAAGTTAACTGCTACACGAATTATGTTCATGACTAACTGCTTGTCATGGGTGCACGATATGTACATACACTCGTTTTATCATTGAGATGTTTAATGACCTTAACATTCTACCGAGTTATATTTTAGCAACTCGGTTGCATCGTGCATTCCCAATGCCCAATGTTTGCATAGCTTGATCAAATAGTTGGAATAGCCTGACTTTTGTGGACTTGCTGACCGCTCCAAGTCACGTTTCTCTGTTCGAGTTTGTTATCAGTCTGTAAACCGATACGATGGTCTATATGTGTTTTATTTATTCGTATATCCCTCTGGGAAATATGTTGTAGAACTGATTCACTAATTACCCAAAGCAAACAGAACACAAAGTGGAAAACTGGGAAAGCTATGCACAGACGAACATAAAATACGCTGGCGAATTACTTAAAGTTAAGCTGGCTCAAATTCTGTAATTTAACACTTTTCTTTATATTTATACTTACTGACTTTTACTGGGCTTCGTCTCCGAAACTGGCAAACAAAACATGAATTAACTAATAATATAGTTCGTGAATTTAACAGATTTTGAGAGTGGGATTTGCACTAGGGATAACCATAATAATTATATTTTATATTTGTTGTACTATGTGGAATCGTGATTCCGTTTTCAATAAGGTATGCAATTGTACAAATGGTAATATAAAATTAAATTAATTACAATATATTACAATACTTTCGTCTTTAAGCAGATTAGATTGTAGTTTGGTTTATCACGCTTTCGTGTTGTTCTTAGGTGTTTCCTCATTTTGGGCTAATCTGTGAAAGGAACTGGGTAGGAAATTGTTTACCACCGCTGATAACAGCCCAAAAACAAAAAAAAAAAACAAAAAACAATAAAAAGTTCTTACAATGTTTGGCCGAGCAGTATTCGATTGATCATAAAAGGTTTCGAATGGAAATGGGAGACCGAGAATATAGCGATTTGAACTGATTGCGCTGTACAGCTGTGTACAGCGATTCGTTGGGGTTGATAATTAGTTGTAGTCAATCTGACCCGCCCCCAATCAACCCCTCCTGCCCCCTCCACGCCCAGTTCCCCTATAACTTAGCTATCTACGCCTATTGTACGCTTAAACGGTTTCTGTTTTTTTTTTTCTGTGCTGTTCTTTTCCCCTCGTTGCTGCTGCTTTTTGATAAAAGCAAAAAGCGTTTAACCGGTTTGTTTCGAAACAAACAGAGAAAACCGAAAACAGAACAAGCCAAGATTATAGTGTGTGTGCGTCTGTGTGTGTGTGTGTGTGCAAGTTGGCTCTGATGAATAACGTTAACTTTGAAGAAATATCTGCTGGCTTTTTTTTTGTATCTCGCGTGGAAGTTAACCGGATCGGATGGGAAATGTGGTCATGAGCGGATGGCATCAACGGGAGAAGTGTTGACGCTTCTTAGCTGATTTTAAATTTTGAAACAAGCCTGGCATTGTAGCTATTGTTTAAACTCTATGATGATTTCTTTTAAGTATGCTGCTTCTAATTTAAATAAGCAAATAAGCTATGCACTGAAAGCTGGCCAATAAAAGTCAACTATCTGAGCACTCCGACCTTATCTTTCAGATAGGCTATCAAGCAATTTCATTATTGTGCGAAATGAAATCCTTATAATTTATAAAGGTAACACATTTCTGCCAACGCGACTTTCCGGATTATATTACAATTATTTCCAAATCAATTGGCCTATAAATAGAATCGAAGTGAGTTAGTTTGGTGTGCTCAATAATGCCAAGCAGCTCGAACGTGTTTTGAATATAAATCAGCTTCAGTCGCGGAGCCTTTGTCAATAAAATTTCACCAAGACCCTGAATGTTTTACGGTTACCTTCATACGCTTAACGAAATTTACTGAGATAAGAACTTTTTCGCCCTTAAACTCCCATCAATTTGAACTTTGGTCTAAAAACTTTGCGGGGGCTATGGAGAAGTGCTCATAAATTCAAGTTGAACCCCTTCTATTTGCTGCTTCATTTCACCTATCACATGGTTGCACCTCCCCCTCAAAAATGTTTTTCCACACAGTTCCCTTCGCTTTTTTGTGTACTTTTTTCTGTTAAAGCAGCTATAAATTTACTTTGTCTGCCCTTTTTGCCAGCTTTTGTTTACTTGGTTTATTTTTAGTGAGCGTGTACATACACACATGCATATCTAACAACTAACCAACTGAATTGCTGACTGGACAAAATTGGAAAACAAATATACGTAAAATCACTTAAACTTCGCTACATTTCGCTGTCATATTCAGTTTTCAGTTTTCAGCCAGGAAAATTCGCGTTTGCAATGTATGCAATATCATTTCACAAACAATTTTGTGACTCAACGGGAAAATATTTTATACTCGGTTTTTCGTTATTCAAATGGGCCACGTTTTTGTTTGAGTCTCAAATTGCTTGTCAAACTTGTTGTTCTCATTTCATTACGATTACATTGTGTTCTGTACAATTTGACACCTGTTGAAGTGTGAAACGAATTTCAAAGTTAGAAAACTCGGTTTACAAA